CCCATATTACGATTTTTGTTGGTTTATTTTATTTTTCGATCTCTAAAAAGAAACGTTCACAATTGCCGAAAAATTAGACTATTCTTTTTTGTTTCTATTTTCTAATGTAAATAAATTTCGTTATGCTTGATTTTTTTTTATTTCCCATAACATTTAACTATACTTTTCAAAAGACATTCACAAATACTTTTAAAATCTATCTGGTTCATTTCCAATATATTTAGAATTTATTGGTTCTGATGTATGGTTTTCTATAGCTTTATTATTAGAGACGTTTAGTTTTTGAGCTGTCTTGGCGGGATACATTGTTTCAAAGGAAATTTTAAAACATAATCATACAACATAACGATACAGCTTTTTAAAATTAGCAAAACAGTTTTCAATGCGATATGTAAGATTGAATTAATGATATTGACAACAAAAAATCTGCTTTTTTCTAGATATACAGGTCGTTGTCTGTCATTCATTTTGTAAGTTTTTCCTTTTTCATTTTATCATCACTTCGTTTCTATCAATAGGCGTAATCTCATACCTACAAAAATGCTATTTAAGAAAGGAATTCCCGTTCATAATCATATATGAAAAATACACAAACAATAACCTTAAAAGAAAGGAGTAAAATATGAAATAAAAATAAAATAAAGAAACATATCCCAATTATACACGCATTAAATTATATTTCTCTTTATTTCTCGTATTTACTATCCTTCTCCCCTTTCCACACATATCTCAGCAAACCCTAAGCCTCTCATCCCCATCCCTATTCCCTCCATTTATCTCACAATATCTCATTCCCCACTTATCTATTATTCCTTCCCTCCTTTATTATTTCTTCATCTGTTAATTATTTGTTAACCTCCATTTATCATTTATATACCTATTCATTATTTCATATCCCTCCGTTATCTCCATCAACTCATTCACCATTTATTATTCCTTATCCCTTCTTTATTATTTATTCATCTTTCAATTATTTTTTAATTCTCCCTTTATTATTCACTTACCTGTCCTTTATTCCTTTATTCCTTAATTCCCCCACTTTATTACTCATCTCCCTATCCATCATTTCCCATCCACCCCCTCTTCATCGCCCATTATCCCACTCCCCATTTATTCATTATTCCTTCCCACGATCTCCTCGAGGCGAAGGGAAACCGAGACGGGACCCGCACGCACCCGCACACACTACCGACTTTTCCCCCCTTATTTTTGCCCCTTTTTTCCCCTCTCTGATGACGTGACCGGCCTTTCTTCCCCGCGGAGAGGCCTATGCACGCCCCCCTTGGTTTCGATCCGTCGTTTTTTCCCTAGGCCTACGGCGAGGGTTTTTTTTTTTAGACATAGGCCTTGGGTGATGTCTTAAAGGAGAAGACGCCGCCAGGAAGGTCAGACACACCGAGGTTCTCTTCTTCGTGGGGTTGCTATTTTGTTTTTTTGTTTTTTTTCCCTTTGGGGGTTTCTTTTGGGGTTTCTTGTTTGTGGTTTGTTGTGTTTTGGGTTTTTTGTTTATTGGGGGGTTTGGTTTGTTTTTGGGTGTGTTTGTTTTGGAAGGGAATTTGGGGGATTTTTTTATTTTTGGTTTATTTTGGTTAATATTTTTCAAGGGTTTATGGAAAGAGGTTTTTTCTTCATTAATGATTTGTAATTGTTTGTTCTTTTCTTAGTTTTTCTTTGATTTTCATTTCTCTTTTTCAGGGGGATTGTGTTAGAATGTTTTTCTAATTCACTATTGGGAGATTTCTTCATTATGTTCGTAAATGTTCTTCTTAGTCTTAGTTTTACTTGGGTTTTCTTGTCTTTTTCAGGTACATTGTGTTAGTGAAAAAGGATTCTCATTTAGTTTATTTTTTCAGTCATTCATAGAAGTTTTCTTCATTTTTGTTATTGTTTTTCTTATTTTTTTCTTATTTTTCTTACTTTTCTTTCCTTTTTTGTGTGTGTTTTAGAGAGAAGGGATTTGGGAATATATATGTCCTTTTTTCTAATTCAAAGAGAAAGGTTTCTTAATTTTTTTCTTATTTCTGTTTGCGTTTTCTTCTCTCTTCATACTATGACTGGTTTTATATAGCTTGAGATATAGAAACGTTGAATCTATATAAATATATGTATATATTTTATTATATATAGGCCCATTTGAGAATGATTTCATTATTAACATTGTTATCTTTTCTTGCCTCACAAGCTATTATAATTTTTTCCATATATTTTTTGTCTCACATTTAAAAAAAATGTTAAGGCACCATCTTATTCTCTTTTATTTCCTGATTTAGTGAATGTTTTCTTGTGCATCTTCTTTGATCCATTGATTTACCTACCTCCCCTATTTGTTCATTTATCCGTCTATTTTATCTGCCCTTTTATCCATCTCTCTATCTGTTATTTATCCCTCCTGTCCTCTTTCTTGAGCTTTTTATCAGCACGAGAAGGGAATTGGGTAAAAAAGGTTTGAAATAGGGTTAAATAGGTTCCAATGAGATGTATCTTTTGCAAGGAGAAATTGGTGTCTGCCTGTGTCAACTCACCTGTGTGTCTGTCTACCTGCCTGTGTGTGTGTCTGTGTATCTGTCTGTCTGTATACCTGTGTTTCTGTATCTGCTTCTCTGTCAGTCTGTGTATCTGTCTGTTTATGTATATGTGTCTGTGTCTGTGAGTGTCTGCCTACCTGTATGTCTGTGTCTGCCTGTGTCTGTCTGCTTACCTGTGTGTCTGTGTCTGTCTGTAGGAACTCAGCTGTGGGTGTGTCAGCTGTGTAGGAAGTCAGTATCTTTACAGTGTCTGTGGTGTCATCACTGCCTTGTTTTGTAGTGTGTTGTGTGTGAGTTCACAGTGCCTTTGTATTGTGTAGGTTGACTATTATTTATAAAGTGGAGTTTGATGAATGTGTAGAAAAAATACAGTGAGATTGTGTAATTTGGTTTTGAAAATACGGTGAGCTTATGTGGTGTGAGTTGCAGAAGTAAAATGAAAGTGTATAGTGTAGCTTGGATAATGCATTGAACTTATATATAATGTGGCTTAGAGAATACAGTGAGCTTATGAGGTGTGGCTTAGATAAAACAGTGTGCATATTATGTGGTGTGGCTTGGAGAGTACAGTGACTTTGTGCAATGTGGCTTGAAATACAGTGAGATAATGTGTTTTGGCTTGGTGAATACAGTGAACTCGCATAATGTGGCTTAGAGAATACAGTGAGCTTATGAGGTGGGGCTTAAATATATGGTGTGGCTTGGAGATTACAGTGAGCATATATAACAGGATTTATTGAATATGGTGAATGCACAAAATAGATATTTATATAGTGTTGTTTAAAGAGTTCATTTAGGCAGTATAGATTTATTGTTTTTATTCTAAATACCTTTGTATTAAGAGATCATAAATTATTAGTTGCTTGCAAATGCCAATCAGAGATAAGAATTATATTTTGAAAACTTATTAGTGTTTACTTTAACAATTAAACAGTTTTATTTTGTATATGTAAAAGTCTTCAGAAAAAGTGGAAAGTTTATAGATCCTGTTACAGAAGATTTTATATACTTTGCCATAAATAGTTTGGTTTAAAGTATGGAGTAATATAAATTTATATTCATTTAATTATATGAAGTAGGATCACATGAAGTAACAGCCTAGCTAAGACTAGGCCCTTAGTTGGTAAGAAAGTTTTTACCCTGCACCTAGATATGTTCAGGTTGAGGTTTGTTGGCCTATGCCGATGTAGTGTTTAGGTCGCTGTGGGTGTCATTTTGATATCTTTTGTGCTGCTATTATCCACAAGAGCTGTTTCAACGTATGTAAAAGATTTTTATTTATATATATATATTTTTTGTATAGTCCTATTGTGGACAATTACTGATATTTTGACTTAATCATCATTAGTTTTTGGAGTTTTGATTTGACATTTAGTGACAGCTTTCAGTGTTTTAACAAATATGCTCTCTGGAAGAATACAGACAACAGCAGAATAAAAAGAATGAATTTGAAAAGTGAATGGAAAGAATATATAATTAAATTTGAAGATATTAATTATTGGTGAATATTAAGTAAATTACATAATTAAGAGCTATCAAGGATGACACTTTATACAAAAAGTAACTAATTTAGACTAGGTCACGTTACAGTAATCAAAGGGTATTTAGAATCAAGTGACTAGATGCTCCCATGATCTTATATAGTTACTAGAATAATTTGCATCAATTCCAGAGACAGTTGTAATTTTGTTATTTGAATATTGTAGTGTTCTGAGCATATAATAAGTGAAAGGTATTCAGGAGATGTAGCTCACTTTATTTATTCAATAATTATTCCTAATTGAATTATTAATGACTCTATTTTTGAATGAGATTGTCTTGGGGAGGGACAGTTGTTGTTAGAATTTATCATTAAAACAGCTTCAACAAAGTTTTCTTTATATCAGGTATACTTGTTGAGGTAATACCACTCTTTGTCATAATGAATAAAATAGCTATTACTAACCTCACATTGATAATTTGCGCATGTATACAGGTAATGGGATAGTACATATTTTTTCATTAGTGATAGTTTGTTTAACTAATGAGTGTAAAAGAATGTTTGAAAAAGAAAAATAATACATATTTAGGTGTGGTTGTATTGATTTGTATGTTCAGAGTTGGGTGGATGATTATAAATGTGTATAGGTATGTTTGTTTGTATGTATATATGTATGCATTTGAGTCGAGCTTGAGAAGTAATAGTTATGTTTAGGA